AATCTACTACCCCGTTAAGCAACCGAGAAACATACCGGACAAAGTGGATACGTTAGATTACAGCCAATCGTCAAAGTACGCTTCAGCACCATCGAACCAAGGACCTATCAAGAGGACACACCCAGCAGCTGGGCCTCGTACTCAGAAAAGTAGAAGATCGGGACCGATCGCTGTTGCTGTTGAAGGAATAACATCTTCTAGAACACCAGGAGCGCCTCGACGTAAAAGGGCCCGCACAGATCCCAAGTCTGCCAGCGCCGCAGCTAAAGAAGAAAATCAAACAATGCTACTGGAAGCGTTTCATATCCTCAAGTCCGGTGTAACCTCACCGACAAACCCTTATTTTACATATCGCCAACGAGCTAAGAAAATACGACCCAAGCACCTTAGCACAAGTGAAGCATGCAATTAATAATGTTATTTTCGAAGCCGATATTGGGAATTATTCTTATGGATATTACATATGTTCGGCAGGGATGCAATCTATCTCCAATTCTATTCAATCCCTCTTCGGAACACATTCGAAGCAGCATTGGAAAATATAAACGTTGGAGTGCTTGTGATTGGAGAACGATTAAATAAAATTCGCTACGCGGACGACACTGTAGTGTTCGCCGACTCTCTGGAAGGTCTCCAAGAATTGATGGATCGTATTGTGAAGGCCAGTACCAACCACGGCTTAGATCTTAACATCAAAAAACAAAGCTCATGGTCACCAGTAAGAATGCTGTATTTACCAGTCAGCTGGTAGTTAATAATAAAGGAATAGAAAGGGTATCGAAATATACATACTTGGTCAGCACAATTAATCACCAGTGGGATCACTCCTTGGAAATAGAGTGCCGTATCGTAAAAGCCAGAGCCACTTTCATCAAAATGGGATCAATGTTCAGGAGTAGAGCCTTAAACTTAAACACCAAGTTAAGACTACTCAGATGTGCTTTTATACGGCGCTGAATCGTGGACGTTGACCTAAGCTTCTTTAAAAAAGTTGGAAGCCTTCGAAATGTGGTTGTACCGACATATTCTCAGAATTTCCTGGATTGACCGTGTAACCAACAAAAAAAATATTACTGTAATGCAATATGATATCTCTGATTATCATCGCAGAAACAAATGTCTTGTGGCATGGCCAATCAGGTATGCAAACACTCTTCTTTCCATTAAGTCTATTACCTAACAGTCTGACCGATTACCCTTAGTGGCACACAGGAGCTAAACACGAATGGAAAATATTTAATCAGCTTCTATTCAGAACCGTGTAAATACAGAGTGGCGCACGAGATGTTTAACCATTTGTTTTTCATTTTTTGGTCGTACTATTATAACGAGATATTTCAAACTTCGCGCATAGATGCAGTGATTTATGGAAAGTCCTCTAGGGTTCAGCACTGATCAGTTGGTTAAGATGGCTGACAACGGGCGGCTTACTCTTGAACAAAGAACGAAATTGGTGCTTTTGTACGCAGAAACGAAGAGTGTGATTGTTACACAGAGACGTTTTCGTAAACATTTCGGCACAAGGTGGGCTCCCGCTAAGAACACAATCTATAGATTGTTTCAGCTGTTTGAAAATAACGGAACAGTGTTAGAACCAAAGCATACAACGTTCGGCGAAAGAATACTGTCCCACCGCTTTCCTCAGCGCCATCAGTGTGGCCGAATTTGGCCACCTCACAGCCCCGACATCAATCCCTGCTATTATTTTCTTTGGGGATTCTTAAAAGAACAAGTCTTCCATCAGCATCCTGAAAGTCTGGCGGAACTCAGAGCCCGTATCATGCAAGTCTGCAGCACAATCGATGAATATCTGTGTCGACGAGTAGTGCAGAATATGAACGTTCGTCTTGAAGAGCTAGTGCGACAAAACGGTGGCCACATTGAACATGTTCTCCGTTAATACCAAATCTCCATGCTTTTGTGTTTCAAAGTTTATGTAGTTTGTAAACTTATGTGGTGTAATATTGAATTAAACCTAAATATAAATAGTTCAACATCTCGTGCGCCACCCTGTAATAGCTGTAATCAGTTTAATTGTGGAAATATGAATCATTACAAATAAATTACTTGTTAAATTTTTATTTCCCTCACTTTCAAGAACCCACTCTTCCATGCATATCTCCAAGGAAACACACATCAGCGGATTTAATACTGATTGTAGTACAATAATTCTTTATTCTGAAATGAAAAATGATTCCATATTCTGTACACAGAATGTAAACAAAATAGTGAGTTACTAAACGTCAAAATGGATGGTACATACAGTTACCACTGTTTTAAAACGTTAAAGATCTGAACAACAGACACATTGAAACATAACCTCACGCTTTTCAAAATATTCGTTCACAAAATATCGTCATATAAATTAACATTTAACAGAAATTGTTTTATCTCGAGATGTTTATTACCACACTGAATTTCTTGGATTGAATACCACTACTGCTTTCATGCAATCGTTACGCTGGAATCAATGGATACAAAAAATTACAATATGTGACCTCACATGACATGGCATTTTAACGTGTCTCAGGAACACCGGCGAAATCGTTCAGAATTGGTTAGCGGTTACAAGCATCGCGCACAGCTGTTTAGTCTTTATGTGACAACCTCAAACGGATTTTAAAACACATAAATAAAACTAACAACCATAAATCAGCAACTATGTATGATATTTGAGGTTCTCACGGCTGTGAAGGTGTCTATGTTGATCCTCTGGATTATAACGCCGTATGGAATTCCGCGTTGATACCAACGTATCGCAGGAACATACTGCAACCATCTTCAGGGTTGGGTGAGGCATTATGTTCCTCCGAAACTTTGGTCCACAGGGCAAGACAAACATCGACAATTTGTAATTAATTTCACTTCGTACAGCTGAAATACTACTTAACTAGTTAGCGTCTTGCAATGAACTAAACTGGCAGCGCCGTGCAATATAGGCTTTGTGCTCAGCTACATTGGAGCATGTGGCCAGAGCCTCACTGAATAAATTAAAGCAACAGTGACGCAAATCATTATAAGCAAGGTAAGTTAACCCAAGTACTTCTGTATGAACCGTCATAATATATAACTTGTTACTCTTATTAGCTCAATTTGGGAATACCTTCTTTCAAAAACTTCACTTTACACTTAGTTACGAGATCCAGAAGAAGAAAAAAAAATTTGAGGCGCGTTGGAAACACAAGAAATACACAAAAATAACACTGGTCAGAGATGCCCACTCCTCATTTTGGAACAGTCACCAGCCTCCTGTCACTACGCCCCTGTCTGGTAAAAATAGTTACCATAGCAACCTAATTTGTAATAAGGCACGGGCAGAGAATACACCAGCAGCAGAGCAAGTAATTGCTTAGGACTTGGAGCACTTAAACAAGAGAAAATGGAGCAGAGGGCAGGCGAAGCCAATGAAGGAAGTCTTTCTCACGCCTACAAACACTACCTCACAGTCATATTGTGACTTGGTTAGAGGTCTCTTGGATGATGCTACTTCACGCCTTGGTCATGAGCAGCTACTGAAACATGCATTTTTTTCTAGCATTGATTGGAACACATTAAGAGAAGGTTTCCGAGTAAGTTCATGGCCTACCATGAACACGTTAACAGATTGCCTGAAACTAAGGTTAACATCGCGATCCTGGAAAACGACCCCTCGAGTCGGTAAACATATGGAAAAGGCGACAGTTTTCGTCAGAATGTGTGTAGAAATAACTTTAACAAAGGTCAGTATTACCTTGACAAAGATGGCTTACTATATCGGCGACCGGCAGGTCATTGCCCCGATCAGCTGGTAATACCACATGGGTTTAGTAAATGACGTCATTGCCTCGCATCACAGCAGTCAGTTCGCGTCACACCCAGGACAGGACAGGACAGAAATTGATAATGGACAATTTCAGATGTGTAGACCATTATTTGGATTGATAGGTGACAACTCCCCCGCTGGTATTTCCACTTTGGCATGGTGGGTGGGCTTGTGTGTCCCGATAATCCCGAGAGCTATGCCGGCGGTAGCTTTGCTATCGGTAGGGCCTCCCAAGCCGGACAGGTCAAGGGTAGGGACCAGACTAAGAGAAATACCCTGGTCCTCCAGGTTGGGGGTTGGATCGTAGGGCCGACACCCCTACATCTGTAAAAATGATATATGTTGAGAAGCATGAAGAAGCACAGTGTGCTATATAGTGGGAAGAATGAAGGTAGACATGAATATGGAGTAGCATTTATCATAGGACCAAGATTTAAGAATAACATTTTAGATTATCAAGCCATCAATGAGAGAATGTGTGTGATGAGACTTAAGATGAAATTCTACAATGTAGCAATGATTAACATATATGCTCCAACAGAAGAGACAGAGTCGAACGAGAAAGACAAATTCTACCATAAACTGGAAAGGGTGTTAGATGCTTTACCATCCAGTGATGTTAAAATAATTTTAGGCGACTTTAACGCCAAGATAGGAAAGGAAGAGGAATTTAGAAGCATCATTGGGAGGAACAGCTTACATGATATCTCCAATGATAATGGGAGAAGACTGATAATTAAGAATATGGTAGTAAGATCAACTCAGTTCGCACATAAGAACATACATAAGCAGACATGGAGGTCACCAAATGGCCAAGTGTTTAATCAAATAGATCATGTATTAATAGATAAGAGAAGAGCTTCGGGAATACAAGATGTGAGGTCATTTAGAGTGGCTGACGGAGATACAGATCACTACCTTGTTAGAGCAAGATACCTGTGTAAGATAACCAGGACACCAAGACAGAATTTGGGAAAAATTCCTAAAATAAAGGTGTTAAACAACGGCCCGTGTTGCTGTCTGACTCAACGAAGAAGATCATTTCTCCTGAGAGGCAGCCTGTACTACCTTGCCCAGATATTAATAATATTGATACACTCAGTGTTCAACTTGAGACGGTCCAATTTAACAGGCAGACCACCACTGATATGCTACAGATTCTTGTAGACATGGTGCGTAATCTCTCTGAGGAGGTCACTCTACTTAAAAGTGAAAATTTGGATATGAGAAGGCAGATTATGGACCTAAAGGTGCCATCAGATATAACTCCTGGGCCGTCTACATTTGTTAGGTCATTGCCCCCAGCAGCAAAGTCCTACAGTGAAGTGGCTGCCGCCTGTTTGCCTGTTCAACATTCCGTGTCTGCTAGTGTTCCTGACATCAGCACCGTTCCTGTCAAGTCTACGGCCGGGAAGAATATTGATGTTGCTGCTCCTACTGCTTCCGGCGATGGATTTGTAACAGTCGTCGGCAAAAAAGAAGAAGGCATTGTCCAGGAAAGAAACTCCCACCGCGTAGAAATAGGCCCATTACATGGTCGAGCGGACGCTCCATCCTCCGCATGCGATAACCAGGCATGTTGAAAATAATTTGATGTTGATAGTCTTCCTACTAATGTCTTTTGCAGGTTAACTATGCACTTGACAACAATCAGTAACTTTTTTTGGTTAATTTATGTTTTTAGTAAGATAATGATTACAAAAGATTTGAATGGCAATTTCATTGCTTTGGTATGTTAATGCACAACGGTCATTCAGTCTCTCTTTATAGACTAGTTAACAAAGAAATTGTAATAAGAGACATAAGAAAGTATAATTAAAAGTGTAAATTTTATAGTATGATAACACTGTGTGCCTCGATTCTTAGGTTATGACTAATCGAGGGGAACAAAAGTGCACACACGACACAAAAAGTGCACACTTGCTTGGAGTTGTCACCAAGTAATACGAACTGTCTTTGTGCAACTCTCATGTGTCACCACCATGTGCATACTGTTACAGCCCCCACTCCTTTGACCAACGCCTAAGACGAGCATTATAAATACTCATGTTGGGAGTAATAGAGGATCCTTTTTGTATCTTCGGATCGCTCTCGACAGGACATTCTCGTAAGTGCCACTGGGCACTACATTAACATCTTTTCAATAAATTCTTCTTCAATTGGAATTGTTTTTTGGAAGTTGAAAGGACACATCTAACTCTCCTTGAGCCGGACTTCGCTCCGCTCCGAACCAACGACTATCCCAACTAGAAGACTTGTTCGATGATCAACATACATGGTTGAACAAGCAACTGAAATCGCAAGACATTTCAGCAGCAAAGCGACAGTTTTCGTCAGAATGTATGTAGAAATAACTTTGACAAAGGTCAGTATTACCTTGACAAAGATGGCTTACTATAACGGCGACCGGCAGGTCATTGCCCCGATCAGCTGGTAATACCGCATGGGTCAGTAAATGACGTCATAGCCTCGCATCACCACAATCAGTTCGCGTCACACCAGGGAGTATTTATGGATGCAGAATGGATGAAAATATACCAGTGTTATGCACTGCGACTAGGAGTGATATTAACTTGTCAAAAACACATGAATATGTCAATCGGGGGCTTGACATATTCAGTGTTGACGGTGCATTTGTCACCGCGCTTATCCGAGTTAGATTTTATAGACGCCATCTCAGACCAAAGTAACTACATTATCCGCTTATGTAAGCACCATTCAAGAAGCCTTGATTTTCCTGAACAAGATAAGTCATAAAAGACGGAGAACAGAACCAGGTGTCAAACCCAGGACCACAGAATAGCAACGGCAATACGGCCAACTATAATGGGAATTCAGGCAATTATCACAATCGGTACGACAAGGACAGATACGGCAGACACCACGTGAGGAACTTTGGCTACAAGAGAAACCAAAATTTCTGCCATGGAAGACGAAATGATTGATTCAATCATAGATGTGCGTCGCCAGCCTACAGACCACGCGATAACACAGTCACACACCACACACGACGTCGCAGGGGGAGCACACCAATTCATCGGCACCGGAGAACTAATAGAAACAACGTGCACGGACCACGGCATCACAGCTGCGGGACTTATCGTATCGGCTGTACTACATCCAGGTCAGTCACTTCGTCACAAAATGCACGGAAAGCAGCTGAATCGGAGACAAGCAGAACAGTGAGTCAGAAACAGAAATTGAAATGCTGTACGGGGAGTTAGAATGTTTCAGTGGGGCAAGTGGCTCAGAGGCTAATACAAGCTCTTTGTTACATCCCAGCTATACATGTTGGTATATTTGTATTCGTACTATGGCATTTAGACATGTTCACTTATTACAATGGGACACAGGTATTACACACACACAAGCATTATTAGGTATATTTTTAATATCAAATACAATTTCAAGCTATCTTATGGTACTATAAATGTTTTGTAACCGAGTTATTTCAGACACTTTGGAAACAGGATATACAGTGCATACCACTTAAAATGCAACCCAACAATAAGTACAAAAATGAAAACAGAAGCAGGTCCACCCCATATAATAAGAATCTTCCACCCGACCCCATGACACTCAAGTCAAGGTCACCCTTATTGCTAGGCCACAAATGCTGTGCAGATGTGAACAAGGTGTATTCATAACCAGATCACTCATGAACCTTACTACACATCAAAATAATTTGTCTGTGAAGCATTTAGTAATGCATATCCTGAGAGGGAAGTACTAAGTAAGACAAAAGTACACTGAAGACCAATCATATCATTGGTTCCCGGATTATTTCTGAGACGTGTGAATTCGAGAGTAAGGGCTTCATTGCATGTAAGATGGCGGGGGCCGTTATCGACGTGAATGTCTTTGTGAGAGTAAGGTAAGATACCTACTTTTGAAATTTTGTGCATATTCTCCGGAATGTGTTAATGAAATCTCACGCCTACAAACGGGTTCCAGAACGCACCGACAGCAGACGAAGTCCTTGCTTAGAATTTGGCGCGCTTTAACAAGAGAAACGGTGCAGAGGAAAGGCAAAGGTGTTGCTAATGCATGTATCATAAGGAATTTTGAATTTGCATGCTTTATCCTGTTTACAGCTTGAGAGATGTGTGTGATTTATAAATGTTTATTTATTTTCAGACCTCTGAATTCAGAGGAAACTGACATTGTAATATGTAAAAGGGGGGGAAAGTCATTTTGAATGAGGGATCTTCAGATGAAAACCCAAGGACCTTTCTATTTAATCGAGTCTTTGGACCCAAATCTTTAGTAACCATTTGCTTACTCTTAGGCATATTCAAAGAACGCACCGGCAGCAGACGAAGTCCTTGCTTAGAATTTGGTGCGCTTTAACAAGACAAAATGGTACAGAGGGCAGGCGAATCCAGTGAGGGAAGTCTTATCACGCCTACAAACGGGTTCCAGAATGCTATTTGGGTCATACTACTACACCAGATGGGACAAGGCCGGATGTCAGGAAAGTACAGGCAATACAGCAATTCCCAACACCCAAATCCACTAAGCACTTGAAGGCATTTTTAGGTTTGGCCGGGTACTATAGGAGATTCCTAACTTCAGTGCAATCGCAAAAACACTACACAAATTCACAGGCAAGAATGACCCGTACGTATGGGAAACAGAGCAGGAAAACGCATTTCAAACTCTAAAGGGTTTATTGAGCAAAGAGCCCTTGTTACGCTATCCTGATTTTGAGTAGGAGTTCCTAGTTACTTGCTATGCAAGCACCAACTCAATAGGAGGGGTACTGAGCCAAGGACCCATAGGTAAAGATATATATTTTCAGTCACGCAAAATAATAATAATAAAAAAACCAAGAGACACTATGACATTAGACACTGTCGCCCCACTAATGTATTATTTCGAAATAATTAATAAAACAGAGTCCGAGAATGAGGCAAGTGCCAGAGGACACCTTCAAAAAAATTATAAAATGTTCTAGAAGCTTTTTATCTTCAAAGAGTACGGAGTACACATATTGTACCCGGGCTATGCCCTTGCTGCAAGAGTGTCACAAGTCGCTCTCTGATCAGCAACAAGTTTAGTCGTGACGACAGTACTTCGTCCAGTCAGAAGTCAGCCACTGCTACAGCCTTAAGCACTGTCGTACTTGTTACTACTATTATATTAGTAATAAATCTCTCGTACAAGTCAACTCTTCTGCAGCAATTACTCCATTCGGCAACCGATAACCAACCATCAAATTCGCTTGACCAACTTATCAAACCCACACAGTACTTCGCATGGTTTTCCCGTGTGTGGTACGCAACACTGAACAAGTTCGAAGTCGTGGAAGACGGAGAACAAAACCGGGGGTCAAACCCAGGACCACAGAATAGCAACGGCAATACGGCCAACTATAATGGGAATTCAGGCAATTATCATAATCGGTACGACAAGAACAGACAAGGCGGACACCACGCGAGAAACTTTGGTTACAGGAGAAACCAAAATTTCTGCCATGATCCATTCAATCAGATATATATGTCGCCAGCCTACAGACCATACACGACGTCGCAAGGGGAGCAGAATCGAGGAGGTTTGAACCCCCAAGCTCCAGTCGATCATCTACACACGAGACCAATCATGGTGAGAACCGAGCACTAGCGGGAAAAGGGAGGAATGACGTAGGAGACCGACCGTCAATCTATGTAGGGGTCATGAACCCATGCCAACCTAAGGGATGGTGCAGCAGTACCTGAAGAGAACCGAGTTCCAAACATTCGTTACGGAGGCTCAAATGAGGAAGGCACTGACATCAGTATATACGATAAATGATACAAACTTAAAGGGATGTTTATATTTGCATTTTAACATTACAAATGCCTCTGACAGATGCAGGAGGGTGGCATAGGAGACTGCGTCAGAATGTGTATAGAAATAACTTTGACAAAGGTCAGTATTACCTTGACAAAGATGGCTTATTATATCGGCGACCGGCAGGTCATTGCCCCGATCAGCTGGTAACACCACATGGGTTTAGTAAATGACGTCATAGCCTCGCATCACACCCAGGACAGGACAAAAATTGATAATGGACAATTTCAGATATGTAGACCATTATTTGAATTGATAGGTGACAAAGTACGCATGTTGTCACGCCATTTAAAATTAGGAGCTAGTTTTCACGAGAGCTCCGATGGTTCAATAACACAAACGTTACTCCAGAGACGAGACGAGGGAGATCCAAGCTTTCAACAGAAGCAAACAGTATGTTGAATGAGACATCAGTTAAAAGTGGAAGCCAACATGAGAGACGTTTGGCTATAGGAGCATTAATTTGTAGTTTCAGACTGAGAAAGGAAGCATTATCCCAATGACCGCTTGGAGAGACAAAACCCCTCTGCCAAAGCATATAGTTGAACTGGACAACATTCCCCAGAGCCAAAAGATCTCTCAGCTGTCCCATCTCTGCTTTATAAAAATTACTGTGGAACCTCATAAGGGGCGAACCGTGCCGCCTCAGTGCGCATGGTGCCAACAGTTTTACCACGTGGCGGCAAACTGTCAGGCCCCTCCGGCCTGTACCCACTGCGCGGAGGAACATTGCTCGTGGCAATGTGAAAATAGATTCCTCCCAAACTTTGTGCCGACCTGCGCCCTGTGCAAGATCGGGGAGCACGGCTCAAAGTACAGAGGATGTCCCTTCTTCTGTGACCTCATGGAGAGGGAGACGAAGAGCAGACCTCCGCAGCAAAATTCAAAAAGAATTGTTGGAGCGCGGGTCTCAGCTCAACCCCAGCGACTGCCCCCCAAAACGTTCCGTGACTTCCCCCCTATGGGTGCTGCAAATGCCTGGAGCAGGCCACTGAACTTTGTCAGCTCGCAACTAACACAGCCTCCACCACATCCCTACAGCTTCCATCAACCACGGGACCTTTATTCTACCTATCATTTCACACAGCCGCACATCATACAGCAACACAGTGCTAACTGTCCCTGCTGCGTCCGGTCCAACACGTCAACACAGGCTACAGCGAGCAAGCCTCCGAATTCTGTAACCGGCATCTATTCGCTGGTTCCGGACAGACCAGTCTCTCCCGCTCACTCTGTAGTAGCGCAGGACGTCACACATGCCGAATCATCTCTCGGCCCAAAATCTAGGTCCTTAGGCCCCAAGACCAAAGCAACTAAGGGGAATAACACAGAACAACTCAGGCAGGGAAAAGAAGAATACATGGGTCAGAGAGACACACACACATCTCATGAACGCACCCAACAATACCCACACCCTCCCACTGGTCTAAGACTCGGAAATCCTCACACCCAGCAGCAGACAAGAGAATTTGTTGAAATTAATCTGGCTCATGTAATCAGATTCGCATCAGCTGCGCTGTGAGGCACTAACAGCACTAAGCATCACTAAGGCACCAAACATACAAACCAATGGGCTAGCTGTATTCAAATTAAAAGTTGGAGCACATCAAGGGTAATGTGGACTGTGACAATGTTATAATGGGGACTTTGGATTTAGCATTTATTGCGTTAAGAGTGCAACTGACAAGTCTCTGGATAACTGTCTCTTTGCTCCATGCCTTCCATTGCCACAGCAAAATTCTGTACATGCCCTTCAATGAGCACTTGCACAAAGGACTGACTTTGGTCGTATGTGACAGACCCGTCCGAAGCACGCGCTAGAGGGGTGTCAGCTTCAGTTGGTTTGTAGCTCTAGCTGTGTTTAGATCGGTGCGTCACCGCAGCTGAGACTGTGCGACCCCCACTACTATTGAAATCCCCTCTCTCGGCTTACACATTGCGCATTTACATGCCACGACTACTCGCGTGACCTTTGCTCAGACAACGTTAAGAGATGCAAGTCCCCTTCCTGAAATTCGAACATTCTGCACATCTTTGGTCCAATGTGTAAGGAACTGGCGACTACAAATCTCTAAACTATTCACATTATTATATTGCTTACAAATTAAAAAAAGTTACGTGCTTTCCTCAACTGTTCACCTCATAAAGTTCAAAAATGGGCAACCACAAAAGAGACACGTTATATGCAACAAAATTGCCTGCATAAAAATATTTTAAAACATGGTGTTTAGGTTTCAACAGCAGTCAATTTTAAAGTATGTGGAACACATCCACATGGCACAAATCAATTGTTTCTGAAAACACCGATTACTGTCTCTCTCAGAATTACATAACACACACATTTTTTTTCTCCTGAAAGTCTATTACGAACTCAAGGGTATGTCTTACAATTGAGGAAACATGGTAACTGGGATAAAGCAACATAATCAGACCTTGTCTTTCACACAAAGTATGCTGCCAACTGAGCCATCTTGTCCTTCGGAGGTCTCGGCTTGCCCCTGCTGCGCCCCCTGCCGCTCCTCCCGCGAGGAGCCCGGCTGCCTGGGGGTCGTGATACGGCTCGGTGTTTCTCGACCAACGGGGTGAAGTAAGGTGAACAGAAAACACAACCGCTCATCTCAGTTGCTTCCTTTGGCAGCTTCGTCTTATCCTGAAAGAACAGACATGCTATTACAATAGTGCCCAGATAAAAACATCACCAAAATCAAGAACAATGCTAAGCTAAGGAGATTCATAAAAACTGAAAACTACTTCCTTTCTTACATACAAGCAAAAATGACACATTTTTTATGTATATAAAGTTATTGAATCCACAGACAAATTTTCACAAGTCTGAATCTCATACCAATGAAGATTAAAGTGTCATCATCACTTTTATCTTTTGGTTTAAATATTTAGGAAAGAGTAGTAAATAGACCTATGAAAGTGATCTCAAAATTACATTTTAAGTGTAATCTGTAACAATTTAAACGCAGACAACTTTGATAACAAAGTTAAAAATCAGGATAACAGTAGACTCGGGCTTTCTAATTACCACAATCCATTAATATATTTAGACAAATACCATGCACCCCCCCCAATTTTTATATCTACCAAGAAAATAATTATTCAAATGAATTAATACTAAAGACAAATATGTGACATTTTAAGGACAAGTCACAATTACATCATGATTTATAACTCTGAAATAAACTTGCATCAGCCATACTGAGCACTTATATATATATATATAGAATGTAACCTAGGGAAGGGGGGAGCCACCGAGGTCAAGAATAAGTAGTAGCTATACCTCCTATACCTCCCAAGCGTCTACATGGAGTATAGTGGGACAGCTTTACTTCTTTTAATCACCACCAGTGGGCTAACATATGGCTCTGATACATTTAATTACATAATATTAGTCTCCTTCATACTCACCTGTCTGTATTCCACATTGACTAGCTGAGCACCACACACGCACACTCCCTCCTCAACAGTCACTTTTTGTGCATCATCAAACAAATGAATTATCACATCACACCTGTAATCATCAAAAAATTCTAAGTGACAAGTTTTTAACATCTATCATAACTTTCAAACACAATGTCCAATAATTTGTCTCAACCCCCAAAAAATTCTTCTTTGGTCAACTGGTTACAAATCCCACCTTCTATCTGAGATGTACCCTCCTCAAAACTTGCTAGCTATCCTACGTTTCCTCACTATCTCCAGGCAAATTCAGTGACAGTATCTGTCGATGAGGACCTCATACACGCATTTCCTCAGGGGCTAATACAACAAACCCTGTGGAACCACAAATTACTTCAATGTAAGATTTGAGATTTTCACAGCGGTGAGAATGAAGAATTCTGTCTTCTGGGATGATTCATCGCCCTGATGACGGAGGCAGTATGATCTCTGAAATGTTGGTAAACATCGACCAGACTACACAGCGCAACAACCCAGAAGACAGAAATCTTCAAATTACTTTCACATGCAAGAATTACCTGTTGCAACCAAGTTTCCACTTGGGGCCAGAGGCGGGATCGAGCACCAAAACGCCACCATCACACTCCACGCAGCTCGAGATGCCAGTACTGTTCAAGCCATGCGGGCATGTTGGATGAATGCATGAATTGCATCCGCTGCCTTTCTTCATCTCCCTGCAAAACAAATTATTACAGCTTGAACACAGTTTTAGAGCCAGACAAAACACATTTGTTTATGCATTATTTTCTGGTCTGCATAATACTTTTATCCAAAAACTAGTTTTATTCTTAAAAATATAATGAAAAATTGAGACGCACATCTTAATTTTCGAAGGACAGTATCCAGATAAGGATGATGTTATTATTTTGACAGATGTGTACTTTATATATATATATATATATATATACACACACACACACCAAAGAGGTTGTTTGTGCTGTTTACGGACATTCACTGTTACCTAAACTTGATTATGTACTGCCAGTATGACAGACAGATTTGAATGTAGTCACACATTGTAAAATACATTTTACAATTTATATAGCTGCATATTTTAATTTAAACCCATCGCCCTTCCGAATAGACCTACAGCTCTTGACAAACACATATATAATAAATATAATGGTAAGTAATGGAACCAATAAAAAATATGTACAATGTAACAACACATACAGGAAAGCTGATTTTAGAATCGAAGAAATACCTATGGCCTAATGATGATATATTGCTATTAAAACATGTAAAAGTAAAGTAAAGTAAAGTTTGTCCCACTATACGCCATGTAGGCGTTTGGGGTGAGTGGAGGTATAGCTCCTCTCTTCCTTGACCTCGGCACTAGATGGGGGTGAGTGGTCAGGATCACGCCCCGGCCGGCTTTACCCCCGGGAAAGGACCCCGGTACCCATTGTAGAGGAGGCTGGGTGGGCCCCAGAGCCGGTCTGGACGCAGAGGCTAGAGGAAAAATCCTCTGCCCCCGTCGGGGATTGAACCCCAGTCGTCCAGCCCGTAGCTAGTCACTATACTGACTGAGCTATCCCGGCTCAGCTATTAAAACATGTAAAAGAATAAAATTATATGCAAACTTGAATATGGAATTTAGTGTGTTGATAGAAAATATAACATACTAAATAGGATTTCCATATATATATATCAGAACAGGATGCTTGATATTTATGTATATGTACATCTCCAATACCAAAAAGGCTAATTTAAATATGTCCTTCTGAAATTAAAAGTTTCCATAGCCCTGGCTTACCGGAATGGCGGATGATTAAAACAGTATGGGCAAAAAGGGTAACTTTTGCCCTTAGCGCCGGCGGACCACGACAGCAACTCAAAGTCATCAAGTGGACACTTGAGTTCCTTGTAGATCCGGATGTTCCCATTTTGTGGCAGATTGTAAGTTTCATCACAGTGAGAACAGTGCATGCGAGATGGTTTCGCCTGGATGTACTTCATGTATCGTCGGCACTTACCACAACTGCAACACAAAAATAAATCTATCACAGCCATCATCTCTACATTAATTCCAGTAAATACAGTCCGATAGAGGTTGATAAGCACCATCATAAGCTGGGCCATGGAGTCGGAAGTAATTTTAGGTGGAGTCAGAGTTGGTAAAAATGTACTTACTCTGACATAAAACCTTAAGGAAATACCATTTTAACACTTTCGCTACCGTGTGAGCTGCTGGCGGCCTCGGGAGATTCAAAGACGTGTTGAGCCACATGGTGTGGGAAAAATGCTTTGTAACTTTGGCTCCAGTACCTTAAGAATACAAACTGTCTACAAATCAACAGATTTCTGCAATAACCATTACATGTATATTTAAATATAGGTTATAATTCTAAAAAGTAGCCTGATGATTAACGTGCTGGTGATGAAATCTCTTATGGTACCATTTACCATTTTAGTAGGTTTACCATTATTAATACATATTGAGCTTTTACGAAGGAGACGGAGCAGGAATCAGAGTCGGAGTGTACTCCACAGCCCTGGTCGTAAGTGTCTCACACTTTATAAATGTCAAAGCTTATTTACCACAATCATAAGAGCAGCCCGGGACCAAGAGATGGCAGTACTAACAGGATGTGGGAGGGTGGTCTGTGGCAGGACCACTCTCATCAAAAACCGCAAGAATCCAATGACGTACTGTGACATGGCGAGGAATCACCGCCATTAAATATGTGCTGCCAAAATGCTGGGCAGGGCCAAAAGCCACAAGCTCAGAAAAGGAGGTGTTCAACAGGGCCCCAATGGGATGGGTTGGGGAGCCTAGGGACGGTGATGGAGAAACCTGTTAAAAGGTGGACGGCAGCACCCATAGCCGCCGCCACCACCACAAAGAGGTACCTAGGACTCGGTGGCAGCCCCACCACTTGGGTGTAGGGTATGACAGGCCTAGTATGCTGATACCCGAAGCCAAGAAAATATCACTCGAGTTCATAAAGTGGACCCAGCCCCAGGCTGGAAACAGCAATGGATGGTTGATTGATGAGAGCTTGCCACTGAAACCAATCCACACACTCACATCATATGTCTTTCGCATCCAAATCAGTATTGCCCTCCCTTCATCTAGGCCCTTGAATTTTCAGGCAAACATTTTTATGTCTCACATCTTCCACATATGCCATTTATATGCTTTATTAATTACAGGATCACTGATACAGATAATCGCAACAAAAAACACTGAAATCTCCACACTGAAAAAATTAAACAAGACTCAAATTCTTGAACCTTCTACATAGAAAATTATTTATACAGACGTATACAGTGAAACCTCTATCCATCGTTCCCGGAACTATCGTTTTCCCGGATGCATCGTCCGTTTTGTCTGGTCCCGGATACATCCCATATAAAATAATGTTACATTTTCCCGCTTCTATCGTTCCTCGAACTATCGTTTTATCGCATCGATCGTTCAAAAATCTTAGTCCCGGCCCACAATTTTCCCGCAATGATCGTTTCTGAGAATTTAAAATGCTGGGTTTAGAGATAAATTAATACCGAAACACGCACAATGTTTTTGGAATAAACAGTAGCGGTAACCTGTTGTCGCCCAACCAGCACAGATTCTTTTGGAATGAGGGGTCAGCGGTGCAGGGGTGATAGTTGGAGTGAATGGCGGTGCCCATTGTCAGAAATTTTACGATTTTAATTTGGGTGCACTCATATTTCGTTCCAGCGATGCCAGATGGCATGTGCAGTGTGAATTTCTTCACAAATGCTTTTATTATAAGTACAAAGGAAAGGCGAGCGAAACTTTTTCATTCTTCTGGTTCATATCGTGTCTTCTACAGCTACGTTTCGTTGAGTTCGGCAGTAATAGTACTTCCATTTTTCCTGTTATAGTCCGCGAAGGTTGAGGGAGCGGTGAGGAAGAGGGAGAAACGACGAATGCGAGCCCGAACTTTGCCGAAACTTTGAAAGAGAAACATTGTTTTTTTTTAAATTTTTAATGCTTTCCCGCATCTATCGTTTTCCCGCATTCATCGTTTTTATTTCCCACCCCCGCCGAAAACGATGCATCGAGGTTTCACTGTATTTCATAAATGTAACTCATTTACCCCTCTGAGATCCAGCATATCTGTTGTATAAAGATGTTATAAAGAAAGTTGTTACATAGGAATTCTATATAAAAAAAAATTCAATAAACCGCCAGTAGTAGTAGTAAACAACTCATAACTAGATGGCTTACCGAACCCGAAGG